TCACTGCTATCTGCTAGACAACAGCATCCAACACAACCATCCATTTCTGTTCCACCTGCATCTGTTCCACCGTTGACCTTCCAATCGAAGGCAATGCCATTGCCACTTTCAGAACCACAAACTAAGGGCTTTCTGAATCTCCAAGTTCCTTCAGTAACACCTATACAATCTTCCCAGATTCAAAATATATCTCAACCCAACCCTGCTGCTCCACATTACTCAAATCTTCCATCCCATATGCCGATGATCTCTGTACATCCACAGCAAACTTTGCAGAATCCTGGACTTTTCAATCAACTCCTGCAGCCGCCATTACCACTGCAGCCTAGACAGGTTGCAATGCAACCTTTTGCTCTTCAGTTTCATCCACAGATGCCTCACTTGCTTGGTCTTCAACCATCCAGTGCACCTCAACAGCTTTTATCACAACCCTTGTTTCATGTAAGTTGGTAACTGGAACCTTCATGACTTTTCCAGGAATTGTTTTCATTTTTATGTGCAGAAGAGATTGCTAGCAAAAGTTGACAGACCACTCTGAATTGTTCAGTCAGGTATCACACCTCCATCGTCCTTCCCACAAGGTCAGGCACCACTTCCAAGTCAGCCACCACAGCATCTTTATCAGGTGCATATATTTTCCTGCTTCCTGAACAAAATGCCTGGTAATTTTGTATGGTGTAGAATTTTCAGCAATGAAAATAACATAAGCAAACAAGCTATGTGTGGTGAACACGAGAATGTTGAGTTATATTGTACATATCAGATTGGTTGAGCAGTAAACATGTATCTCTTAACAAATTTATGAACATGGTACTACATCACGGAATACAGTGTGCAACAATAATCTGAGTTCACCAAATTAGAATATTTTGACCATCTAATTTGTCTCTTCTGTTCTTTTTCTGTACCAATTATAACAGTTGTTGTGCCAAATCATTGGTCTTCAATTTTCTAAATGCCCTTAATCAGTAAAAGCAACACACATTTCCTGGGATCACATGGTCAGGTTATTCTCTGTACCAAATATGGTTACGATTTACTCTCCCTAATAACATGATATCATAGAAATTGCGTTTTCTGAGAGATTTTTTTTTTCCTTTTCATAATAAGCTGTGACATTGTGGTGGAAACAAACTGGTAACCTCTACAAGTGACTATTTATTGCTTCCATGTACACCATCTTGATAAAGTTGTTTTCTTCTAGCAGGTTGGTTCTTCACACATAGGCACAGATTATGGCACCCAAGTCAGCACCTCCATGCAAAAAGACAGGGGCGCTCCTTGGGTACTTGGCTCCCAACTGCCAGGACTCCCACCAATGATTTCTGGACAGATGGCCACAGGCACCAGTGGCCAGCCACCTCGGGCTCCACCAGTAAAGCCCTCAGAGGACTTTTTAAAATCTTTTTCTCTAGGCCTGAATTTAGTTGGTATGACCAAAATAATTTTGCCAGTTGCTGACCCTGTCTTTATGGTTGTGCAGTTGACACCAGAAATGGAACAGGCATTGCTTCAGCAGGTTATGGGCCTCACACCAGAACAGATCAATCTTCTACCCCCGGAGCAAAGGAATCAAGTGCTTCAACTACGGGAAATGCTAAAATGATTACGATATGGGCCTTTCATTTATCTTGAGTGCTTTTGATAACCGGCTCTCTCCATATTTGCTGACCTGAATCAACAGTGGAGTGCGACTTGCTGCTTCCAATGTGTTCTACAGTTCAGGCGATTTATGTAAGCTGCACTGTAGTGTTCGTTGACCTAACACAGAATTCCCAGTGCGTTTTGCTGGTGGCGGAAGCATCTTGTGTGAGGTACTTCAGGGCCGGTGGTGATGCTAGGAGTATAGTTGTCGAAGGCAGACCGAATTGATTGGTCGATTGGCAATCGAGAATCCAACCGTTGGCTAGTTACATTTTTAGATTGGATAAATTTTTTATTCCATATATACTAAAATGTGTTTGAATATAGTTGTTCTTTATTTTTTCGTGGAGGATTTTTATTTTCTAAAATATGGTTTTCTTAATGTTATTAAAGTGTCACTTCTATCATCTCTTTGGTCACCATCATTTTTATTGTCATTATTTTATTATTAGAATGTTATTTTTTATTTATCTATTTCATCATCCTTATTTTTTTAAGCTAATTATATATTATTTTTTGTAGTTAATTATATTTAGTATTTCGGTCTTTATACTTCAAAAAATTATGTTATAATCTTTATATTTATAAAAGTAAAATATTTTATATTATAATTTTTTTATGTCATCGACTCTATTAATGGATGATATCACATGTGCAAATGATTTTAAAATCATGATTTCGTTCTTCCCTTTGGCATTGTTATTCTTGGGACAACCTATTGGGAAGAGAAAGCTTTGATTAAATTTCGAATGCTTGTTCATCATAATGAGCTTGTTGAGGGTTGATACCACTGGGAAGACAACCTTGGATTTTATTGCTAGCGATGATTGCGACGAAGGCATTTGAGAGTTGAAACGATTGTTGTTTAAGAATATAGTGTCAAGCTCCTTGTCGGAGAGCATCGACGATAATGCTCTCTTGAAGTCATTGAATCGAAGTTCGAGGTATTTAAGCGACGGTAGGGAAAGGGCAACGTTCGAGAACGGGTCAATAAAGCTGTTGTTCTTAGTGTCGAGCTCGTGGAGGAGTTTAAGATGGGAGATATTTTGGAGGATGATGTTGTAGAAGCGATTGGAGTTGATGTGGAGGAAGGCGGCGTCAGTCAAGAGGCTGAGCTCTGTGAGAGGTACCTGGTGATATCGATGTTGTTAAGGTCAACGTCGACGATGATGTTGACTAAGGGATCGTTCAACGTAAAACACTATAATAGCCATACATGTTAGGGTCGATCCAATTGTCGGTGAAGTTGTGGGGCTCAAAGTATATGGCATTCTTCCATGCCCTCAAACTAACGTAGGTGCGATGGAGGCGGGAATTGGCGATGGTGATGCCAATCTCGACATCAAACTTGAAGTCATCGAGTAGGTATCCCTTTTTCGAAAGGGCCAGAAGCTAACGGTGCGCAATGGAGATAACCATGGCGTTGGAGAGGGTTGAGGAAAGGCGCAAAAAGAAAAAGAAGTTGAGCAAGATAGCGAAGTTAGAGGGAAAGATGAAGTCGGAGAAGGATAGCAAAGCTTCCACAAAAGTTATCCTTATGTGAAATTAATATCTTTAGACGATAAGAATAGTGATTACGAAATTATATTTTTATCTCTTTTTCAACGTTATTTTCAGCATGTGTATCTTCAATTAGTAAAGTCGTCTATTAGTAGAGTCGTCATAAGTATAAAGATCTCAATATAAATTTTTGAAGTGTAGGGATCGGGACCTTAGCCCATTTTTTTTCATCAAGCATTTCTCATCATCCTCTCTTGTTATTATTCTTTTTCCTCCTTGTTTTTTATTGACAAGACTCAATTATTTTTATAAAAATATTAATTATATAATAAGTTCCAAAAAATTAAAAATCTCCTCCGAGACATAAAGATCTTGCCAGATTGTCAGCAACAATATCGTTCATCCTGTTTACATGCTCAAATATCAAAACAATTGGCACACTCTTTTTTCCTTCTCTCATCACCTCATGCATTGTATTACTATCATATTTCTCTATTGATCACAAATGAAAGTTTAAATTGAGACTCATCCGTTTTCTTTTGTTTTATATGAAAGCCGAAAGTGGACAAACCGCATTATAATTATTTCACTCATATTTGATACATCTTCCAAAGAAATGCACAAAACAATTGCTTCCTTGAGTTGCTAACTTTTATACTACACTGGAATGTGTGAACATTGTGCCACTCATCATCAAGATCTCAACCCATGCCAACCAGCAAAACGCTGTGTGCGCGTGTGGCTCATCCAACCCTTGCCCTCTCTACGGCGGCAGGCCGTCCCATTGGCCACCCCGAGCTGTCACGGGAATCACAGCTCCATTTGCTGTGGCCATGGCGAGCATGTGACCTCACTGCCTTGCTCCCACTCCCCACAACACCAAGCTGATGTAGCGGTCATCTTAAGCACGAATGTCAAAATTCATGCGGTGGATGTTTTGGGTCCAAAGACAAGAATAAGAAAAAGGAAGATGGAAGTTTTCTTCTCGCCCAGTGCAAAGCATCGATTCAACTTCTGCAAGAGGCCAAGAGGGAGATAGATGAAGGGGAAGAGGAGGGAGAAAGCTTTTCCTTTCTCCTTTAAAGGGATAAAGGTGAAGGCAACAGATGCATTGCTTAAAAGAATAGCCCTCTCCCTGCTCACCATCCAGCCAAGGAACGTGGTTTCTGAGTAAACTAATCCTCCAAACAGGGAAGTAACAGAGCATTACAGAAACCAGGGCTTATTTGTCTGCTTACCATCCTACAATATCTAAGACCGAATCAAGCAATGAACACAGTGCCAGAGTTACCCTATAGATTAATCAAAAGATACTCTCCCTACTGCACCTCTCTCTCTCTCTCTCTCTCTGTGAATAATGATCTCCTTCACAGCAGCATTTGACACTTGTATATTTGAAGAAGGGCTTAAAGATATCATCACATTCAGAGCACTAGAGAAAAAGCTACAATCATGAACTCTTTACTTTTGGTTCTGGAGAAGAAAAAAAAATCCGATTTGATGAATGTTAAAACAACAAGTTGGATCTTCAATGCACTTTACATACTCGAATTTAATACGGTGAGTATCTGCAAGAGGAAACTTGTATTACTACTCTGTCATCAACAAAGCTGTGAGCCTACAAGCAGCAGAGTCACAGGCGTGCTGAGCTTGATATAGCCGTTGCGAGGGCATGACGGTCAATTCAACACCGGATGAGCACACCACACGGAATCTGGACCGGAAGGTATGAGGGTGAATTGGTAACTTCACTTCCGAGAATGCCAGCCACCAAGCTGGATTTGGAGTTTTGTCCTCCAAGTTGACCCCACCCTCTCTCTGTCTCTCTCTTCAGCCATTGTAATGTCTACATTTCCCAACCCACCTTTAAATGCCAACCCTGTACTTCTCTCTTGCTTTTCCCTTTCCTTCCTATCGTCTTCCTCTCCTCCATCACCAACCCCGCCCCGCGCCCCCTTCACCGAGGTCTCCCCTCCTCCATTCCTCTCGATCTTTGGTTCCCTCCGACCCATTGCGTCGGAGCATCTGATCTTCCATTGACGATCCTCTCTGAATCAGAAGCAATCATCAACTATTTAACCGAACCGCCCCTGGCTCTCCTTCCGATCTCTCAAAGATTGAAAGAAAGATCCTTTTCTTTCTCCTCGCCTCTTCGATTTTCCTTTGGTACTTGGATGCCGCTCTAGCTGCATTTGTTCTTTCGCTTCCTTTGATTCGTCTTGAGTTGCTACTTCGCTTTTGGGGTTGAAGCTTCATGTCTTAAAACTCTTTGCTTGGTGACTGGAATATCGAAAAGATCAGACCAGCAAAACTGGTAACTTCTCCTTTACTTTTGCTTGTTTTTCCCTTTATTGCAAAAAATATCTTTGTTGTCCATGATGGTAATATCTGCTGGATGCTGCATCTCTCTCTCTCTCTCTCTCTCTCTCTCTCTCTCTCTCTCTCTTGTGATGATCTTGCATTTCTGGGTTTCCAATAAATAATCTCACGTATGCTAGATGATTTCCCTGGATATTCCAAGACTTTCTGTTAATTAATGCTTTCTTTCATGTTTAAATAGTAATCTGGGCCTTTGTGTTTTGTGTTATTCAAAGAACTGTCCTCTTCTTTTGCTGCTTTATGAGTGCATTATTCTTGGGTTTATGTAGACAAGTGCGAGTTTTTGTTTCATTGTGATAGATCTTGTTCTATAGCGGGGGAATGTGTATATTTTGCAGAATTATGCTTTTAACATAACACGACTCAATACTCAAACAATCACTAATTCTGCTCTCTGTGAATTCCAGAAACAAAAAAATGTCATCTCCTGACTCATTAAACACAGAGTTATCGCAGAAGACACCAGTCTTTGGTCTGAGACTTTGGGTTGTCATTGGCATCTGTGTTGGCGTGTTGATTGTGTTTATTCTCTCTATCCTATCGATATGGGTCACATCCAAGAGGAAGACAAAAAGGAATTTTGACAACTTACCTATCTCGCAAATCCCAAATGTCTCCAAGGAAATTACGGTCGACAGAGTTGGTAATCATTGTTTTGCTCAAACTTTCCCGGAGAGGGAAGGGCCTTTCTTCCTCTCACATGACAACTATAGTGATATGGATTCTGGAAAGACACTTGCACACTTGACCTTGAACAAGTCGAGTGATGCTGATAACATGAGCCAGAGTAGCTCAGTCTACCACAATGATAGGGCTGGGAGTTCATATTCTGGTGATGAAGGTAGCTCAGGACCCACTAGGAAAGCATATACAGGATATGCACTTGTGTCCGCATCTCCTTTAATTGGACTGCCAGAATCCTCGCATCTCGGATGGGGTCACTGGTTTACTCTAAGGGACCTTGAGCTTGCTACAAATCGATTCTCCAAGGAAAATGTACTTGGGGAAGGCGGATATGGAGTTGTTTATCGGGGCCGTTTGATAAATGGATCTGAGGTTGCAGTCAAGAAACTTCTGAACAATCTGTAAGTTCATTACTTGTTGCAAGTGCTCTGATTCTTCAGTCTTTAGTTCATTTAATTTGTGTAGGTCACTATAGTTATCTAATTATAGCTCTCACTGGGTCATGCAGGGGACAGGCAGAGAAGGAGTTCAGAGTGGAAGTCGAAGCCATCGGTCATGTTCGACACAAAAATCTAGTGAGGCTTTTGGGATACTGTATAGAAGGAATTCATAGGTGAATACTCCTTATTACTGGTCTATTGCTCTTTTAATGTTTGCAGTTTTTCCTTTTAATTAACTGGAATCTGTCAACACAGAGTTAATTATCACATAATGGCTTTGATTTTAAGGAGTATAGTTTACACTTCTAACTCTAACCCTAACTAGTTCTGGTCAAATATAGAAATTTCTGACTTACTGAAAAATATAGCTCACCTGCAGTAGCCCATTATTTTATACACATTTTGGGAATTCTACTGAAGTTGGTTTCTAACAAGAACAGCAAATCACATGGATTCACAACTCAACAACATTTACTGCAGGCATGATGCTCTTTGGAAACAATTGGAAAGAGACCACTGATGTTTATGCCAATTAAAGAAAACTGAAAAAAAATATTCCTCTTAGTCTAAGGCAGTTGAATTTCTGAGAAAGATTATAAATAGATAAGAAGTGTGATCGTCAATGCAAGAGAATTAAGGTGCTTCTTATTGCAGATTTTTTTTAAGAAGAGAAAAAAATATCTCCTAAGATCAATAGAAATGTTTAGGCATATTAGAGAATTATCTAAGTAAACTGGATAGAAGACTGTGCATCTATATTTATATTATGTTGAATGCAAAGAAACACCAAGTTAACAAAGATAATGACCATGATGTCACTCCATGATCCATGATTAGTTGAAGCTTAATCTTACAAAAAGTATTTGGTGATTCATAAAATATTCTGGTTAATTAAAACAAATAATATCTGCTCTAATATCTAGCACTTTCTAAATCTTGTTCAAGACCTTAATCAATGTAGAATAGAAATTTTTACAGATGCAAATGTGCTGTTGTTTATAGAAGTTGTCAAATTGTCACGATGTCATATAACATCTGGGCTTAGCCAAAGAACAATAGTTAGTTGTCTGAATATGTGAAATGTAAAGTTATGAGATTTTTTAACTGTGAACTTCTCTCATGCAAAAGTAGTTATGATAAAGTGGCTGAATCCCACTAAACAAGGGAAAAAATAGAAGGAAAAAGAATAGATACTAGTGTATTTATGACTTGTTCCACATTGTTTGGTGGACACAAGAACAAAAGGCAGGAGGAAATTAAGTCAATCAAACAAGAGATGGCAGATAAAGTACCAGTTAGATTCAAATCATTTATATCAAGTCAAGTTTAATTTATATAAAATTGATGTAGTATCAATATCCGATCAATGCTTGTCCAAAAAACTTCTGGTATTTCAAGAAAACATCTGAGGCTGCTAATTAATTTACTAGTAAATCTTTTGCTGGAAAACCATCTCTATCACCTTCACCTTCTTATATTATCTCTAGATGGTAGAGTACTACAAAGACAAGATTTGTTATAATATACAACAGAATGTACACAGGAACAACTCTATCTCTGTCTTCCACTTGAAGATACTTATACAGAAAGAATTATCTAGCTAATTGATTTGAAGCTGATTGATATTTGATATGTCAAATCAAGAAACAATAATTTTCTATACAAAGTGCTTATTCTGATCATGGTTGCTAGACTGAGTTGCATTGCCCTGAGCAACTAGATATTTTTCATACTGCCTTGACTCTTCAATTTTCCATTTAACTGAGTAGCATTATTCTACAAGAAAATAAGTATTGCATATAATGAAATTATTCTACAAGAAGATAATGCTATTCAAACTACCTTTGAGTCTTCAACTTCCCATTTTACTGAGTAGCATTATTCTACAAAAAAATAAGTATTGCATATAATGATATTATTGTAAATCATTTCCTTTACATCACTGCTTGATAATTCAAACACTACTAGCAATTCCCTAGTAGACTTGTGGTAGCTGGTTGATTCATTTTTGAAATTGGACGCTTTGTTATTTGTGATTGCTTAGTACTACTTTTACTTGCTAAATTGTCTAAGAAGAGCAAATATTTTGCATCCAGACAGGACAACCACAAAATATTTTTACACAATCATTAATTTTAAATTAATGTCATTGAACTGATTATGTAGATCACCAAAAATGTAACAGGATGCTTGTGTATGAGTATGTCAACAATGGAAATTTGGAGCAGTGGCTACATGGAGCTATGCGCCAACATGGTGTCCTTAGTTGGGAGAACCGCATGAAGGTTATCCTTGGCACTGCAAAGGCGTAAGTATTTAAATCATCTAAAAGGCTATATTTTAGCTAAATCATCAATTATGTTGATGATAATTTCAATATTTAAATGACTTTCAGGCTTGCTTATTTGCATGAAGCTATTGAACCAAAAGTTGTTCACCGAGATATTAAATCAAGTAACATCTTGATTGATGATGAGTATAATGGAAAGATATCTGATTTTGGATTGGCTAAGCTTTTGGGTTCTGATAAGAGCCACGTTGCAACTAGAGTAATGGGAACATTTGGGTATGTAGGCTATCAACTTATTCTTCATTAAAATGTTTCTATCTAGTAGCATTAATATTTTGTAAGTAGCATTGATTTTTTAAGAAAATTGAAGCAAGAATCATTAATGTGAACACATTTGATCATTAATCAGGTATGTGGCTCCTGAATATGCTAACACTGGACTTCTAAATGAGAAGAGTGATGTTTATAGTTTTGGAGTATTGTTACTGGAGACCGTGACCAGCAGGGATCCTGTGGATTACAGCAGGCCAGCAAATGAGGTATGACTGTCGAAGTCTGCTTTAAAGGGACTATTCCCTTGTGTAGAGCATTGTAGAGTTCTCACTGTATGTTTGTTTGTACTCATATTCTTCACCTTGTTCTCATAACGAGAGCTGTACATATCTCTTTCCCTTAATTGCAGGTGAATCTAGTGGAGTGGCTCAAAATGATGGTTGGAAATCGGAGAGCAGAGGAAGTAGTGGATCCAAATCTTGAGGTCAAACCAGCTACGCGAGCTCTTAAACGTACCCTTTTGGTTGCACTGAGATGTGTTGATCCTGATGCTGATAAAAGACCCAAGATGGGCCAGGTTGTTCGAATGCTCGAAGCAGATGAAGTTTCATATCGTGAGGTAATACAAATTCCATGCCATATAATTCTAATTAAACTTTGAGGCCAACCTACTGATGGTTTTCATATTCTTAAAAAGGATCGGAGAAACAGAAGGAATCAGACAGGTAACGTGGAGATAGAGGCCCAGAAGGAGAGTAACAGTTCAAGTGATATGGAAAATAAAGTGGGAAGAAGAGAGTTTCAAACTTCTGAAAGGTTTCAGGCATAAGGATGTTTGTTAGTTATATCACACATGCAGCAAGAAGCCAGTGATTGACACTCTCTCTTTGCTAACGAGATCGAACTACTTTTTGACATTCAGGACCAACTGAAGGATGAATTTTCTGGCTCTTCTGTTATGGTGTTACTTCTGTAGTGGGCATCCATCAGGTGAAGAGCAAACTCATCATTTTGGAAGTTCCTGATTACCTAGTGGAGTTAGATTTCTTGTACAGAAACCTATTTTGAAGTCGAAAATCTTCATTGGCCTTACATAATTTTATCCTTTGGTTTTGTTTCATTATTCTCCTCTTGACTCCAACTTTTCAATTGTTTTGCCCTTTACTCCATGTCCAAAAAGGCATGATAAGTAATCATTTCATCTTTTGCCTGGGGTTCCTTTAGATGGGTAGAATTGTGCAACACTTCATTTATTCTTTATCAGCTGCATTCCCTGCTTATTTTGGCTAGTGGCTAGTTAGCCAGATTCATGTTTGATTGAAACCTGACAAATGCCATTAAGCATTCATTGCATTGCTACTACATCATTGAGAAGGTAATCACACAAAGCTCTATTTTGGATTACATTGCATGATTGACTGACTTATAAACCCTGGATTTTTACATGGTTTATTTATTTAATATGCTGACCTATTTTTTCTTCTTCAAAATATGCTTACATTTCAGTTGTGATTGGCAACAAATGCGCATTTTGTTGGTCTACAAATTGTGATCAAACTAAAAAAAAAAAATCTCTAAGAAGAACAATTCCCTATGGTAGATCTCCATGACAACCCTTCATGTTCAAAACAGTATCATTGGCTCTTTTTCTCCTACTCTTAAGCTGCTGTAAGCTAATGAAAAAGTGCTCTTAAGCTGCTTGCTGAATTGTTTCTTCTGTTATGGAGAGGGAGGCAGGCCAAAGAATGTCTTTGAAGAACTGTACATTTCTGTTCCCAGAGTTGGACTTTGATGTCGAATTTATTTGCTTTGTGACCAAAAAAAAAATCATTATATTATATTATATATATATATATATATCCCCAAAAGAAAAGTCATCCGTCATTGCTTTAAATATTGAAGATTGTCTCGAGCAATAGGCATAGCATTCATGATAAGAGGGCAATGTACATCTCACTACAAACAAACAAGCAAGAGGACAGCGGCTTTATCCATCCAAGCAGATTTGCGTAGGAGATTTGGTCCCATCAGTCGCCTATTAGCTCTGTTCTTCTTCATGCATAGGGGTAGACGCAGCTCCCGAAACCTGCACCAGCAACGATGAATGAAACGTTAGCAACAGGTCGTCGTCCGCTCCTGATCGTGCTTTTCCAGTGAATCCGACTCACTCGGGTCTGTCGTCACGATGAGTGCCGAGCCCTTGAAGTAGCAGTTCCAGTAGTTCTTGCCCTTGGATTGGTAGTAGAGGTTCATGGCGATGGAAGCGTGGGACACGAGAGTATCCGGGTAGAAGCAAGTCCAGCCCCTCTGCAGTACGCTGCAGTCCACCTGAGAGCAAGCAAAGTTCAAGTTTGCAGCCAAGGTCGCTTCATCCGCCGACGGCTTGGCAACGCACCAGGTTTTCTGCAACACCATCAAACAGCAACATTTTTCTGAGTGACCTCCGCCCCATCATCCATCATACTTCTCTCGGTCTATCTTACCTGTCCTTGCACCACCACCTTCGTGGCTCCTCCTGTCGAACAGAGCATTAGAAGAGAGAGAGAGAGAGAGTGAGAGAGCCAGAGCTTGAAGCAAGGGAGTAATGCCACTTACTGGAATGCACGTTACCTGAAGCGAGAGTCGGCAAAATCAGAGCCGAAGACAAGATCAGCAGAGAAGACAATGTTGCTCGCACTCTTCCAGCCATTGCCGAGGAAGGAAGGAAGGAAACCAGGACGTACGCAGTACAGGTGTTTGATGAATTGCTTTTCGCGAGACGTCGAGCAAGGAAGAAGGGATTTAATGGCGGAGTAGCTGAGACCGTGACATTGCAACGGCTATATCTGCACACTATTTGTCTTGGTGCGGTGGCGTTATTGGCAGGCTAATAAATTCGAGGTGCTGTGGCGAAGGGAATCGAGCAAAAAGCTGGCGGATGAAGACGAAGCATGTGCGTCGTTCTTTGGTCGGACTGCGTGCATGTCAGTGCTGTGCAGGAGTAAGAATCGAGAAGAGGGAGTACCGAGCAGAGGACGAGCGGCGTGATTACTGCACGGACGCTGCCTTCCGAGGACCCGTGAGTAGTGGTGTGAGGCTGACACGCTGCGGACAGGTGGTGGCTGCCGACTCGGGGTGTTGTGCATCCTTTTTTTTTTTTTTTTTTTTCAAGATTAAGAGGTAATTGTTGGGCAATTCATCGGAAAAATACTAATAAACCCCATATTTGGTTTTGATAAATGGGCGATTTTTTTTTTGGACTTTGATCCAGATATTCATATTGAATCATAATAATTATTCTTTTAATTAGATTTGGTTTTGATTTATGATGTATAAATGATTTATCTTTGTTGTCGATCTATTTTTTCGTCTAGTTTATTTCTATCGCCTGCTTGAGGGTAATATAAGGTTTTTCGTATTTGATCGATGGGCTATCATCGATAGCTTATTGCTAATGATAGTATTATTAAGGACGATGACCTCTGATGGTCGATAGCCCAATCGCGAACAACAATTGTGTGCACCGTGAAAGCATTGTTGAGTGTGAAAATCAATAACAGTCGTGGTTGCCTGTGTTGCAGCCTTCCAACGATTGACTTATCTTGGTCACAAGCAATTATAGAAGCGCCATTACTTGTGATGGCTGCAACGACTGTAGCATTGTCACTGCTTATAACAGCTACAGCAACGTTGCTGTGGCATTTGCTGATCGCAGTTGGCATCGGTTGGACACTGAAGGCCATAGTTCCAAGCGATTGTATAGTGAACATGTGGGCACAACGCATGTTGTGGTGATTGTGGGGGTCGCTAGTCAGCTCATGTGCACGATCGCGTGGTGGGATGGTTTGTTGGTGATGCTCAGTTAGCAGCACACTACGAAGGTGTTCCACCAGTGAGGAACGCGATGGCATGGCGCAACGACTAGTGAGGTCATCGATTAGCCACGTGAGAAGAGTCACACCACTGAGGGCGACGCACAAGCAATAAACGATAGTTGCATTGTCGACCTTTGCGAGTGGATGCAATGAAATGTACCGACGACGGTTGCACGTAAGTTGAGATGACTATGTAAGGGCTTAAGCGATTGACACATTTAGGTGTACATAAATAAAGTCAAGATATAATTAGATATAAATATCAAAATTATCATATGTTTATGATAGTTATGATTAGTTTGATAATAATCTTAATTCTTTTGTTTGATTAATAGAAAAATGAAATGTTTATGCTCATTATGTTTTGTCAAATGTGGCATGATATAATAAGATTATGAAAAGATAAAATCGTACTCTTATGGATATGGTTGAAAGTATGATAAATTATTTTTTTACCCAGATTAATATAAGGTGAAGCTATAAGGATAGTTATATATATTTTGAACATGGTTTATAGTAAGTTAGTTCTATCAACTTATTTTGAATTGTGAACTAGTAGAAAACTTAATTTGAGATATTTATATATTTAAGATGTTATACAAAGATTAAGGTCTTCTATTCACATAAAAAGAAATTAGATTCAAGGATTATCTTTTGATATTTTATTATTTATATAAAAAGTTTAAAGAGATGCAAATTTTATTATCTTAAACATAGTATGAGGATAGTTAAATATAATAATATAAGATTCTTAGAAAATAGTGAATTAGTGTAAGTGAACATTTTTAAATTTAATCTTCATAGTGAGGAGATACATATTGATATATATTTTTTATATTTAATATATTATTATTTATTAAATCATTAAAAGAATTGATGAGCATGAATAATAAAATAATATTGATGAACTCCCACATGATGATATTGTCGGTAATGGTTTTGTAGAACAACAATAATCGATAGTTTTGAAAAGACCTCAATGGGAAAATAGATATTATTTTTTATTATTGTATGGTGCATCTATAAAAATCAAATTATAACATAGGAATCAAAAGAGATCCTTTATTGTTTTCACAAACTATGAAAAATAACGATCATAAAAATTGGTATGATGCAAGAAAAAGAAAATTCAAATCAATGGACTACAATGGTATTTGAGAACTTATCGAATTACTTAATAATTATATAAGAGAATATAGATTACAGATATTCTCTCATCCCCGGGTCTCTAATCTATCACTTACAGTTCTCCTTATAGATCATTATCATTGTAACTTTCGGATCTGATGATAGTACACTTATAGATTAAATAAATAATTTTTGAATGATATTGAAAAGATATGCATCGTATATTTGATTTATCCATCTTTGATTTTAGTTTCTAGTATCAGAATTTTTCATATAACAGTAACATATTACCATTTTTATGTTTACAAGAAACGAAATATCACACGTAGATCAACAAAAACGACATAGGAGAGGAAAGGTGAGTGTGACAAAACACTATGAGACAATAACATCTAAATTGACGGTTTGAAATAACAATCACATGAAAAAAAATAAAAAAACTTTTGAAAATGGGATAAACTTGAAATTTTGAACTTATCTTGGGCTACTTTTCATGGGCAGTAACGAGGCCTTCATGGGCCCAACAAAAAAAGAATGGAACCCATTGCTTGGTCTATCATGTTCTCTAACGCAATTATCGTACCCCAACTTATATTGCAATTATCTCAAGAATTCCCATTAATAACCGCCAAAAGAAAATAATAGACTAATTTCAGCGAGAGCAGCCGTTAATTAGATTTAGGACGACTACAAAACATATATATATATATATATATATATATATATATATATATATATATA